GCACTCCTGCCTGGGCGACGGAGGGAGACTCCATCTCAAAAAAAAACAAAACAAAACAAAAAAGATTATTTCACTTTAGGCCTCTGCTGTCTTCTGCTTTCTTTTTTTTTTAGTGAATGGATATAATATCCCAATACATTTTGATAATTGAACAACAGCTACATTTTTAAGTGGGGCTGCTTTCTTCTTCTTATTTTTTAAATTCCTTTTCCTTAATTTTTTAAAAAACTGTCAGAGATTGACTAAGAGTTGGGACAGCTTTCTTATGTGAGAATAGTAGATGATAGCAAATATTTGTGATGTTAAAATGATAATCCTAATAGTTTTCTTTTAGAATCTTTATAATAAAAATGCTTTGAGGCTGAGGGTGAATTTATATGTTCCTAAAGAGACAAAAAATGTTCTTGGGACATAGTAAATGTCATTTAAATCTTAGATGTTTTTATTAGTATAATTTTTGGGTAGAAATTTGGCATTAAAAAATACATACGGAGCTTTTTCTAAGTCATACAGGGCAAGACAGCATTTTGTCATGGCAATTAGTAAATAGACTCAGATAATTATAAAACATCTAATTTTAAAAATTTGTTACAGAAACGGTACAGGTACATTGTGGCAAAAATAGAAAATACAAAACAAGCAAATATGAGAAAAATATACATGCCGCCACCTACATATTACTTTCAGTACTTTAGTTTATAATCTTTTGTCTACATATGTCTATATGGATATATATATGTATTCTTTTATCCAAATGGTATTACATTGTACATTCTGTTTTGAAACCTGCCTTTTTTAGTCATTTACATCTACTTTTCCATTTCAGTAACTTTTCATCTTATATAATGCCCGGATCACATTAAAATTTTTCCAATTAGCTCAAAAATTCCTTTATGGCTGGTTTGGCTAAAACAGAATCCAGGTCAGCATTGCACCTATGATATTGGCTGTTAGGAACCTTGTATCTTTAAAAATTAAGGGCAGCAACCCATCCTCCCGCTTCCCCCACCTCTCACCCACCTCCTACCTTTTTTTTTTTTCTTAAAGATACTGGCTTGTTGAAGAGAGAATGGGTCATGTCCTACCAATTTTCTGAATTTGTCCAGTTTGCTGTCTCATAGTGTCATTTAGCTTGTTTATCCTATGTATTTCCTATAAATTAAAATTTATATCTGAATCCTTGGTGGATTTGAGTTGAAGATCCTTAACTATCAAAGATGATACTGTGCCTTTGTATTGCATATCAGAAGTTACATGATCTTTACTTGATTCATGATGAGGAGATGGCCACTGAAATTGGACCATGACAGTCTTTTCTGCCCATTGTTCAATTATATTTCTCTCTTGACATTAGAAAGTATTTTGGGTAGTAGTATTTTGGCGCTGTAGGAAAGTTCATTTTCTCATCAACCACTCACCTATTGGTTTAACACCATTTGTTGATCTTTGAGTATATCAGTAATTTCATTAGGGTTTGCAAAATAAGACTTTAAATTCTATTCTTTTACAATATTAATTGATGTTTTTTGGTAAGATAGAACTTGTGAAATGGGACTATTTAGTTGTCTTTAAATACAGTCTCTATAGGAAAGACAAAATACTTAAATCTTTCTCTTTACCATTTTTCAAAGTGAAGAACTATTCCATTAACCACCTCAAAAGGTGATAAATGAAAAGGGCGTTTTTAGTTGTTTTAACTTTTTTTTTTGAGATAGGGTCTTATTCTGTTGCCCAGGCTGGAGTGCAATGGTGCAATCATGGTACACCAAAGCCTCAATCTCCCTGGGCTCAGGTGATTCTCCCACCTCAGCCTGGGACTAAAGGTGTACACCACCACAGCCAGACAATTTTTTTTGTTTTTGTTTTGTAGAGATGGGGTTTTGCCATATTGCCCAGGCTGGTCTCAAACTCCTGAGCTGAAGGAATCCACCCACCTCAGCCTCCCAAAGTGCTAGGATTATTGACGTGACCCACAATATCTGGCCTTAACTTTTTTCTTTTGAGTGTCTTTATAGACTCAAGGACTTTTATTTAATTCAGGATGTTTTAATATACTACCATTTAAATGTTTTCTTTGATGCTCAGATTGTCACAGCTAGTCATTTGGATCTTTATACCACCTCCTATGTCCATTTGATATAGGCTGTTAATCTCTGTAAGCCTTCCTTGTTCTCTTGGAATGAAAAGGTATCCCGGACTCACCTGTACCTTCCCTACTCCAGAGCTGGCATTAATTCTTTTTCCAAGGAGTTTGGTACCTTTTAGTTTATTATAATATTAGAGATGAAAATCTGTGTTCTAGGAATATTTATTACTGCTATAGTGATGTTGCTTTTAGGCCATTTCAGAGAAAAGACCTAGAAAACAGATTTTTACAGACATGAATTCATACTGCTGTTTTTAGTATTTTACATGATTTCTTGATTTTACAATATTATCTCTGTTTTCTTACACTTACTATTATGAACCTTAAAGTTATTAGCATAACTTCTTTGCTTATTTCTACAATATAAAGAAAATAGTCCTGGTGCGGTGGCTCACGCTGTAATCCCAGCACTTTGGGAGGTTGAGGCAGGTGGATTCCTTGAGCTCTGGAGTTCAAGACAAACCTGGGCAGCACGATGAAACCTTGTCTTTACAAAAAATTAGCTGGGCATTGTGGCATGTGGTTGTATTCCCAGCTACTCAGGAGGCTGAGGTGGGAGGATCACCTGAGCCCAGGAGGTCAAGGCTCTAGTGAGCCATGATCATGCCACCACACTCTAGCCTGGGTGACAAAGGGAGACCCTGTTTCAGGGGAAGAAAAAAAAAAGATAAAATAGTTTGAGGAGGCTTTATGTAGTGGCTCATGCATGTAATCCTGGCACTTTGGGAGGTCGAGGTGGGAGGATGGCTTGAGCCCAGGAGTTTGAGACCAGCCTGTGCCACATCATGAGACCTGGACTCTATTTAAAAAAAAAAAAGAAAAGAAAAGGAAATAGTTTGAGGATATCAATAATGATATTATTGGAATCGGTAAAACTACCAAAAGAAATGTAAAGTTTCTTCCTAGTTTTTCTTTTGTTTAGAATAGTTCCTATCAAGAAGTGTAGTAAAGTGCAGTGTCCAGATAGCCCTTGTAACAAAACCTTTCTCTTTCTCCCGAGTGCCAGTTTGACATTTAATCAGTTTTGTTTCTAGCAATGTTCAATGTATGAGATTATAAGTCTTTTTTTCTTTATATCACAGGAGTCCTGCTGCTACCTGTTCTTGCTATGCTTTTCCGCTTTTCTTCCCTTTCTCTATGAAGCATCCATTTTTATTAGTTTCTCATTTATCACTCAGGCATGCGTATGTGTATTGAGGATGTTGACATTCAAGCAAATATATGTGTTAACATTCTTTTTGCCATCCCTTATACAAAAGATATACCCTGTATACTCTATTGGGCAGTTTTTTTTCCTTAAAATATTCCGTAGATCTCTCCAGTTAGCACAGTTATCTTATAGATAGAGCATATAGTATACATATAACCTTTTCTTAAACTGTGCTATTAAAATAATAGCTTTCAGTAACTCGATAATTATTTTTGGATTGAAAATACTACTGAAATCAACTCGATAATGTGAAAGCTGCAGAAAGAAAAAGACCTAGAAAAGGGCATTGGATTAGGTCAACTTTGAATTTTATTTGGAAGATAAATGAGTCCGGAAGGGAGTGGGCAGAGATTATTGGAGTTGATCTTAAAAGGAGGCATTAGGCAGATTATTGGCTGGGCTAGTGTGAAAGGTCTGTCAGAAAATCATGAGATTAGGTTGATGTAGCTCAAAAAATGAGAGCTATTGTGATGAGTGGGTAAGAATCATAAAAGTGTAGAGTGTTGATGATTTTTATAGTTTATAAATGGTTCTTGAGTGTAGAGGTTTGTTTTTATGCTAGCTATAGTCTGTAACATAATTGACTATAATAGGCATGCTAAATATCCATGACAGTTGACCCTTGAACAACATAAAGGATATGGGCACCTACTCCTGTGCAGTTGAAACTTCACATGTAACTTTTGGCCCCCCCCCAAACTTAACTATTAATATTTAGCCTATAGTTGACTGGAAATCTTACTGATAATATAATGTTCATTAATACATATTTTATGTATGTGTTAGATAGCATATTTGTATAATAAGCTACAGAAAAAATATTAAAATCATAAAGAAGAGAAAATATACTTACTGTTCATTAAGCGGAAGTGGATCATCATGAGGGTCTTCATTTTCACTGCCTTCACTTTAAGTAGGCCGAGGAGTAGGAGAGAGTGGAAAGGTCAGACTTGCTGTCTCATGGGTGGCAGAGGTAGAAGAAGGTCCACATACAAGTGGTCCCACACAGCTGAAACCGGTTTTGTTCATTGGCCAACTGTAGTTTGATTGAAAGTAAGAATAATAAATAAAGTTTCTACTTCAGTTCAGTATTATCAAGTCATAGATAGCAAGGGCTGGAAGAAACCTTAGTAGTAATCTCTTTGAGTCTAATTATGTAGAATATGAAATTGTGGTCTAGAAAGGTTAAGTGACTTGTCCAAATTACACAACTAGTTAGAGACATAGCCAGCTCCTAATTCTGACTTCCAGATTTTCACTGTGTCTTTTTTCTACAACATGTTGCCTTAATTTTTAGCCATGAAAAATTAGAAGCTGAACTCTTTGTCTTTTCAGGCAGGTGCAGATTTTGGGGTTTTGTTTTGAGTTTTGGTTTTTGACCTAAAGTACTTTAGTTCTGTGATTTATAAAGCACGAGTTTTCTGTTTTTCTTATATACCTGAATACTGTAAATATGGAAGTTACCTTTTATCTTTACCAGTATTACACATAAATGGTTATACATAAATACATTGACCACCTTTTATTACTCCAACTATGGTGGGGAAAGCTTTCTTTTCATAACTAGCTAATGTTTTAAAATGTATACTTTTAGTTTGATTGCTGCATATTTCAGATATTTCTTTCCTTAACTAAAGTACTCAGATATTTATCCAAACATTATTGCTATGGGATTTCCTGCAGAAAGACTTGAAGGCGTATACAGGAACAATATTGATGATGTAGTAAGGTAAGAATGCTTTGATTTTCTATTTCAAATATTGATGTTTATATTCATATTGTATTTTCATTTAGAAAAGATTTCTAAACCACAGAAAAAGATACTTTGTGATGTAAACTTTGTTATTGTAGTGCTCTATAATCATTTTTTGGCTTACTGTACCTAATGGACTTCAGTGGGATACAGTTCATTTGATAAGAACTGACCTTAAACATAATCAGGTACTTAGGTGATATCATTTCCTGGACTCCATAAAATGCCTGTCACCAGGTTTAATACCTGAATTCCATTACAGTGTGATTGTTGTCTTATTTCGTAATTGGGGATTAGGCTTAAAATCCTAGAGTGGATTTATTCAATTTATTGACATTAAGATGTAGATGACTAATACTGATTTTTATGTAGACCAAATTTTAAGGTACCACTGTGCATAAGTATACCAAGTACTTGAAGAAGTATTTGGTTGTTAAAAGATATATAGAAAGGAATCGCTGGGTGTACCAAGGCTAATCAGTTTTATAATTTTGCATAATTTTCTAAGCGCAATTATCATTTAGTTTAGAACAATTCTCAAGACCCACATAAATATTACTTTTAAAATATACAGTCTTAAGAATTTGTGGCATATTTTATGAAAGGAGGAATTCATGTCTGATGTACAAATAGTCTTAACATTTATATTGTCTAATTTCAGAGCAAAAATATGTATGTATGAATAAATTAACTGTAAATTGTCAGTAGGAACCTTGAGAATTCGTGGCGTAATTTATGAAAGAAGGAATTCACGTCTGATGTGCAAATACTCTTAACATATTTTTTCATTTCAGAGCGAAAACATGTATATTAAATCAACTATAAATTGTCAGTAGGAAACTTAATGGCTTTAAAAGTTAAAATTTCAAGCCAGACATTGTGGTGTGCTCCTCAGGTCCCAGCTACTTGTGAGGCTGAGGTGGGAGGATCACTTGGCTTGAACCCCCAGGTAGAGGGTAGAGGCCAGTCTGGTTAACACAGCGAGAACTCATCTCTTAAAAAAGTTAAAATTCTGGATTATTTCCTTTACACTCTTTCATTAGTATCTTTCCTGGAGATTTTCAGTTTAAATACTTGGTGATTATGACAATTAGATGTTAAAATGGATGGGAAAGTACTTTGTAACTTATAAAGCGTTATGCAGATGTAGACTCCTTTTATAATAGTTGTGTAAGTATATGAGACAACCTACATTCTTTTAGGAGCTAGCTATAAGTTTTAGCAACTTGCTTTGAACCACAGATTTACAATTTTTTGTAGTATTGAGTTGTATTCATTTAGAATTTTGTAATATATTCAAAATCAAATTTTTGTACCTACAAAAACTACAAAAAAAATCCCCCTAGTTTTTATAGTTTCTATTAAAATTATAGCCAGTACATAGGGATGCCAGAAGGACTGTTTAAGAAGCTGAAAATAGAGAAATGAATTTATCTTCTCATAGTTAGGCAGGGTACAGTAGAAGGATGCTTAACATTGCAAGCTGATGGGAACAGCAGGTTGATATATAGCTTGTGATAACACTTCTAAAGAAAAAGCAGTGAGCCATAGAAAAAAGAGATAGATACATTTTGAATTAAGAAAGATGGTGAATCTGGGAAACAAGCAGTACAGTCACCAGACGTGTATTCTCTGCTGTGATACAGAAGTGTTTATCAGGCCTCTTTATGGCCTGCATGATATATCCCACAAGATGACCTACTCACATTATTTTAATTCTGTGTTCAACTAAGCACTAATTCAACCCAGCCAGTTTAGTACTCATACCAAAAAAGTGTGAGCACTCTGAATAGAGGGCAGGTTTTCTGATTATGGTGAGAATATCTTTGTGGTAAATTAATCTGGTGTGCTAGTTTTTACATTGGTCTCTTCTGAGTGTCATTAGTCACTGAGGCTGATTGATCATCTTTCAGGTTACTGATAAAAGTTCCTGTACAGCTGATTATCAGACCTTAGGTTGCAGTAACTTCACCAAGAAAATACTTTGCTGAGAAGCATTTTGGTCCTTCTATTTGATTCATAACTCTTACCTTTATGCCTCTGAATGAAAAGATTCACATATTCAGTTTGTAATTAGTAATCAAGGCTGAGGTTTATTCTATCTAGCTTCACGATATATCTAGTTTGTTTTGTCTAGCCATATGATTTCTTCAAATCTGCTATGTCTAAAAAAAAAAGTTTTATGTATCCAGATTAATACTTAGCCAGTGCTTCCTTAGCCAGTGGATCTTATCACCTCTTATACTATTGATAGCTTGTCAACATGAAGAATTATCTGCTGAATATAATAGCTTTGCTGTCCTTGTTTCCTTTTGTCTCATTCTTTTTTGAGAAAGCTTTGATAGCCTTCTATTGCCTAGGCCCCTCCTCTTCTTTTATGAGAGAAAGGATGAACAGTGACCAGAAATTAAGGGTTTGTGTTTTTTTTTCTATCAACTAAAATGGAAATAAATAATTCCTAAGTAATTTGTCTGTTAGGATTAAAGTCTCCAAGAGAATGGCTGTGCCTAGTACCTAAGTGATTAATTTCCTTGATTGGTTTACATTATATTGAGGATATTAGTAATCAGTAGTGATTCCTTTTTTGGTTCAAAGATGATAGTGTCACAGTGAAAAGTGTTTTTAAAATTTTTGTATACTTAATTTTTCTGTAACAAAAGTATTTTCAGTTGGATTTTTCTTTGCCCTCTCTATTAGAATGCCCAAAGAATATTTAAAATTATCCTTTTCTCTCTTACTGCATATTTTTTCCTGTGATTTTTCCCCAAACACAAAATATTCTGCAGAGATTAGACTTTGTTACTGTTGCTTTGACTAAAATAAACTTAGATTGCAAATGCTTTCAGGCTTACATTGCTCAATGTATTTTTGTTTTTTTTTTTGGTAATATGAAACATTGTTTTATTCAGATAATTGATTATTCTGTAATATGTATGTTAATTTTTTTAAATTATACTTTAAGTTCTAGGGTACATGTGCACAACTTACAGGTTTGTTACCTATGTATACATGTGCCATGCTGGTTTGCTGCACCCATTAACTCATCATTTACGTTAGGTATTTCTCCCAGTGTTATCCCTCTCCCATCCCCCCACCCCACGACAGACCCCGGTTTGTGATGTTTTCCGCCCTGTGTCCAAGTGTTCTCATTGTTCAGTTCCCACCTGTGAATGAGAACATGCAGTGTTTGGTTTTCTGTCCTTGCAATAGTTTGCTCAGGATGATGGTTTCCAGCTTCATCCATGTCCCTACAAAGGACATGAAACTCATCCTTTTTTATGGCTGCATAGTATTCCATGGTGTATATGTGCCACATTTTCTTAATCTATTCTATCATTGATGGACATTTGGGTTGGTTCTTTGCTATTGTGAATAGTGCCACAGTAAACATATGTGTGCATGTGTCTTTATAGGTGATGAGAAGGGGCATCCCTGTCCTGTGCCGGT